TCACTCTCTCTCTCTCTCACTCTCTCACTTTCTCTCTCTCTCTATCTCTCCCTCTATCTCTCTCGAAATTGCTCCCCGCGTTGAACATTCGAATGAATTTGTCTTTAAACCGAGTCTCTAACATTCTGTCACTCTCCCTTTCTCTCCCTCTCTCACTTTCCCTCTTTCGTTCCCGTTTCCCCTTAGGTATTCTCGTTTCTTTTCTCTTTTGTTAGAAGCTACTCCGTTTCCGCGAAGGGAGGACGTGAGATTGTCATCGTAACAAATATGGATTCCGATCGCCCGGCGAGTTTTCCCGTGAGATTTGACAATCGCGGGCTCCGCGTATCAAGGCACGTTCAAGCGACGCTAGAGAGCACGTGCGGCATTGGTCTTGAACAAAGGTGAACCGACACGCGCGTTTTAATCAATGGCGAAGCCGGACAACGTCTCTGAAACATTCGGAGGAGCACGAGAGAAAAGAGAAACGCTGGCCCGGGGAGAGCCCGAGATATTTCGGCGTTTAGACCCGCGGGGAGAGAGCTTGCGACGAGAGAGCTTGGACACGCGGCTACGATAGAGAACGAGACTCTCGGCAATGCAACGCGGCGAAAGCGCAACCAAGGAGTGCGTCGGTATTTAATCGGCAATCGGTTCATTCGAAAAGAAACAGACAGCTTGAGCAACAACAAAATAAAGAGAGAAAAATAAGCAGAGAAATTAAGATCGGTTGTCAAGGGTTCCTTTCGGCTTGCGAGCTGCTTTTCCCTGTCTCGATTACGAATTTCATTATCAACCCTTCGCAATCGAGTGTTTTTTAGCTTCTAGAGATTCCGATCTGTTCCCATGAAACACTGAAAATGCATCTTAACACTAGAACTACCGAGTAATTCAGATTCTCTGATTTCTCTATAGAAACTCCAATATCGCGTCTTTTGAAGTTTCGATGGATTTATCCTTCAATTTGCGTATTTCTAAACCGATTTTCATCATTCAGTTCTCAGAAAAGAATCTGTTAAGAATACAGGAATGCATCATTTTGGCCCATTTGGTAGATCTAATGTTAAATACATATACATAATTCTTATTTGAATAAAGAGACGATATATTTGCATCTTTCGATTGTAGATATGAAAGACACTCGATTGTAAAGGGTTGATCAGACGTTGCTATAGCGATAACCATTATTCCACGTGAAAACAGAGTGGACAAGACTGTCCTTACGTAATGCAAGATTGGGGAAAGCATCTCGCGAGCGAGAGAGAGAAAAAACAATGAAATAAAAACAATGGAGTGCCATAGACGTGTCTCTTTGTTACAGACCGCGCACGCGAACGATTGCGCGTTATATAATAATGTAGCGATGGGATCCGACGTGTCGCGAGCAAGGTGAAAAGAGAAAGAATCGTTTAAACTGATCTTCGTCTCGAACTGATTCCTACGAGAAATATAAGAATCCTTTCTTGTTTCCGTGTTAATCCTTTGAACTACGATTATCTATTATCAAATAAAGTGATCTTTGTTCAAGCCTCCGTTATCGAATGTCAACGATAATAATTCATTTCTAATCCACGATTCTATTGCAACGCTCGAAACATAATTAAACGAAGCTTCCGTTAGCACCGAATCGATTAACGTCTACTACACGTAATCCCATCGCTATCAAGAACAATCGCGATTCGACGAACAGCCGATGGCACTCTAGCCGAGGCTAAAAAAGGATATGTAATCGAACGCGGGCGTCGTTTCAACGTATAAAAACAAACCGAGAGAGTAGCCGCTAGCGCGATAGCAAGTTATCGGACTCCATTACCGCGATTATCGCCGATCGATCTCGTTCCGTCGTTCTCGGCGCACTATGCCATACTTGATTCGCTACGTAATTTCCGACAATTGATTCTCGTGCATTCTGCTATCTTCCCGATCAACAGCGACAAAAATTGAGCATTCCAACGCGAACGGAACGAGCTGCGTTCACCCTTATTCTGTACAAACGCGGATCAAGCGTGGAACGACCTCGATTCTCTCATCGTTACCAACGATTATCGTACTTTATGTTACTTCTCATCGATCTGTACGCTTCTAGTTACATTACGTATATTCCCAATTCGCGTTACTCCATTTCGTTCCCGAGATATCGAGAAACCACGGGCTAGTCGTATCGGTTCGGCGGTCGTTCCGCGCTTGGCCCGCGCTTGGCAGCGCGAACGCAGCTTCCCGCGCGATCCGTTCGCGTATAATTAGATCGTTAGTGGAACACGACAGCGACGGAAGCCTCGATCGGCTGATTGGCATACAATGATCAACGGCGAGCGTAACGTTCGAACATCGGACCGCGGAAAAGAAAAAAGAAGCTGCAACGCTATCGCAGAGAGAGTTTAACTGCGGTCTGATTGCAAGATTGCAGATACTGGCAACGACAGGCCTACGATTCGAAAAATCAGCCAGTGCGAATTTACGTGAATCGAGCATCATCGATCCGGCGGAGAGAACCGCCTACGGCATTACATATATATATGTATAGATATATACAATATTAACATCCGAATTCGGTTGAATCGTACGCAAACGATCACTCTATGTTCATAAATCATGTAATTGTTCAATATGGTTTATTACCTACCCCGTGGCTCTTAAATTACGGTTAGGATCGTGAACAACGTACCTTGCTCCCTCCACTCTGACGATGTTCCATACTGTCGTCCACAAGCCCGGCTGCGCTTGTCTCATCGAGAGCATGGAGCTTTTCGTCGCAAGCAGCGCACCAGACTCACCGGCGATCTACAAGATTTTCGAAAGCGTTCGGTTTTGTTCGACTCGGCGTACGACATTCTAGCCGAAGGTAGACGACTGGGTGCCTCTATCGACGAGGCAGGAGAAATATTCTGCGTAAATCGAATTAAACTCGTCCCGCAAAAGCGGAGTGTAAATAACTCGTCTGACTACCGTTGCTGCGAGCTGCGTTTGATATCTTTGATACGCTCGAGTTTGCTGAATTCCACAGGTATTGCGATTGATAGATTGTAAGCATCCATTGACACAAGAAAAATGATCGCGAGAAGCTTAAGATTCTACTCGTACAAGATTAACTTTCCTAGATATTCTTAACGCGCTCAATTCGGTTAAATTGAACTAAACTACTAAAGGGTTAATACTAGGTCCATCTATTCTACATTCTATTGTCTCTAGAAACATTGGCGTAGAAGTTAGAGATTCAGAAATATACACTCGCCGAGCAACATCGTAAACTTGTTTGTAGTTCCCGGTGAAAAATGCGTCGATCGTCGATTTACCTGCATTCTGACTTTCGCCGTGTCCAACGGGAACGTCATCAAATCAGCGATGCAGGCCGCGGTGCCCGCGGTCAGGAAGTTGGTCCAAAATGGCAGGTGGTTGGCCTGCGCCTGTTTCTTCATCGTGCTCATCTCTCTCTTCTCGCTTCCCCCTTGTCTTTACTCCCGTTTCCCTTGTTCGGTCTGTCGACGTTGTTTTGTTGCGTTTCGGGGTGGCAACTGCTTCGATATACTTGTTGCGTGCTTCTAGGTGGTGCGTGCGTGTCGGATACGTGCGGGGAATAATATTAGCGGAGACTCCTCGTGTTCTCGACTCCTTTCCGAATACCCGCGTGACCGTTGTACGAGCCCACCGAGCTTGCTCTGCTCGTCTCGGCGAGATCCTTCGTTAGAAAAGCTGCTATGTACACTATGTACAGAGTCCTACCAGAGGACAGGAACCTTTTAGATGATCATCGGGCGAACGGCTGATTTAAAGGCGGAGCTTTTTAGGTTCCCTGAAGTGATCAGGATACGCATGCAGTCCCCCTGACCGCGAGCACTCGTGTTTGATGTCTTGATTGTGAAGTACTTTATACATACTATTCTTCTGCAACACGAGAAATTATCGGATTAGTATTGGTAAGTGACCGAGTCGCTCGGAATGCGGTTAGGTCCAGAGGATAATTAAGAAAATTAATGTTCTCTGATACATTGATTAAAATTGTTTCGCAATGGATAGGCTCTACAATAGAAATGTTTATTCCAATGAAACTTAGAGAAATCAGGGAATACCGAAAGATCGACTCAACGCATCTGTTCTGACAATGAACTTCAGGTTCAATGGACCAAATCAATCGAAGTCTCAACGAGTGCACCACACAGTTTCTACAGAGAACTTGGAAATAGACGGTTCGGCTGCTCGCTGATTCTATCGTTAAACATTTTCAGAGTCGTCTCGTCAGGGTCGACATGAAAACAACCGATACCTAACCAAGACCTCGATCGAGGTTTAACGACCGAGTATCGCGATACACCGTTCTCTAATCGCCAACGGACACCCTAGCGATCGGCGCGCAGATGAATCACTGTTATCGGAGTACGAACACGATTATCGCGGAGGACGGGCCGGTGTCGCGATTCCGAGGCGGTCTAATCGTCGCGTCTGGCAATGAGCGAGTACTTAGATATGCGTGCGCGTGTCGTGTTCGCGACGATGGCTCTTCGCACGGTCAATTTTCGCTTAACGAGTCCGTGGCCGACGCGTCGGCTGTCTCTGACGTTCTCGCGACGCTGCGCGCGTGGGCAGATCGACGTCGCGAAAATAGAACCCGCGGAGGAAGGTATTGGAGATCGGCCAGCCAGAGGACGCCCGTCGGCGACGCGGAGGTTTATCTTGTCCGATAACGCGGGTCGCGACGGAGCAACATCTCGAGCGAATTATCTATTGCTATCTGAGCGAGGCGCGTGCGAGACATTGACATTCGCGGTTCACGGCTCTTCCGGGCAGCCGAATTCCTCGTGTCTTGCGAGGAGAGCGCTAGACGTAAGAATAGACTGTTCGGAAGTTCCTTGAAAAAGGAGCAGTGGATGGATGGAATCCTGTAGATGGATTTTTTGTTCTATTGATGTTGCTTTGGAGATTTGGCTCGATTTTGGATAGCTGCTTGCAAGGAGAGGGCTAGGTGTAAGAATCGGTTGTTAAGAAGTTACTTGAAAAGGGACAGTCGATGGATTTTTTGTCGTATTGATGTTGCTTTGGAGATTTGGCTCGATTTTTGATAACTACTCACAAGGAAAGAGCTTAGACATAGGAATCAGTTATTAGAAAGTTTCTTTCAAAGGGAACAGTGGATGGATTGAATCCTGTAGATGGATTTTTTGTTCTATTGATGTTGCTTTGGAGATTTGGTTCAAGTTTGGATAGCTGCTTGCAAGGAGAAGGCTAGACGTAAGAATCGGCTATTAAGTCTTGTTCTATTGATGTTGGTTTGAAGAATTGGTTAGTTCTTTGAAGACCACGAAGGCTATCAATCTCTAGGTACGTATGTATATACTGTAACATTCGAGAACAGATTTTTATGTCTGACCATCTCTCTGTAAGATCGTTATCACGCAGAAACCGAGTCGATACACTTTTGATTGCCGCGTGCTCGTGGCCAGCTATTTCGGCCGTGAGGCTATTTTCGTTTAACGCAGAAGACGATGAAAAATTGTTGCGAGGGCACGATACGCGTAGGAGGAGCCACGATCGGTGATATATTTAATAACAACGCCGTTGAAAACGTGCTGGAGCTTGACCATTCGCGTCGTGGATATTTCAGTTGCCTCGATGGTAAATATAAGTGCTGATAATTTTACCTTCCATGTTTTTAACGTTAGAACTACCCAGCATTTAATACGATTAATATATAATACCTATAAAAACTGTAACAATATATTATTTCCGGTTTCTTCGGACATTCATTATAGTATTCAAGTGAAACTATTTATCTTCAAGACCATTTCAAGTATTCGATGCTGTTAAGATATCAGTAATTGCGAAACGAGCAAATTAACCAGTCGTTTCGCCTGATTACGTAGTTCCGACGTCAAAATCAGTTTTACAACGAACACGTGGATCGTTAATATTTTCGTCTGGCCCGTGTCAGTCCGTCGCGTGATCTCGAATCAAGAAAGGGGAAAATACCGTTGCCTCTGGCGATTGGTACAAAGTCCGTCTCAGTTTTCGACGACCCAGCAGATACATTCGCTTTTTTCTTATTTATACCGGAACGGATCTCTGTGTCGTTGTTTCTAGGACACGGAGATCGTTCAACACTGACAAAAGTGTACCACCGGTAGCTCAGACTCCAACGTCGCGTCACGCGGTGCGTGCCATTAAATCTGTACTTCGGTGAACTGGTTTCGTAAATTTTCCGTTTGACAACTAAGCCATTTTGCGACGAATCCACCGTTTTCATTGAATTATGAGCAAATGCGGCGATCGTAATGGCCTCGGCGAGAGCAACACTCCGTGTTCCTCTGTATTTTCACTTTATTTGCGTAGGCTCCGGCGAGTTTAACGATTCGCAAAGCGGAACGATGTCCGTTGGAAGGTTTCGTAAACAGAAAACATTGCGAGAACTCGTCTGCTTATCGATAGTTTCAAAGATTTCAGAAATCCCGAGTATCTTGTAGTCGAACGGACAGAAACGTGAATTACTGAACACCTTGTTTCAAGAAGACGCCGATTTCAGTTGAAAAGAACTGACTGACGCGGACGACACCGACGACACCGTCGCTCGAGACGAAAGTCGGAGTCGTAAACATTGAGAACCGCTTCTCGCAACCTTCGACTGCCGATTTCTATTGTAAAGTTCGATTCTAACCGCGCGTTTGTCGCCGATTTCCCCGCGAAGAATGCGTAATGTCGGCCCGCGTTGCTCTGCGGAGGGACTCTGAGCCGCTCGCTCGCGAACAATGCGATCGATCGCGGAATTCGGCCATGCGCCTGCATCGCTGCACTCGTTGCCGTGCGCGCTGCGAGGCGTACATTTTATAATCGGAGAGAGAACATTTTGTTTGTATAAACAACAGCTCTCCTGCGCGACCTGCAGCGAAACAATCAATCTGCAGAATCATTTAGGTCTCGTATCGATAGAAAAGTACCTCGAGTGAATGAATTATATTCTCGAAACCTGCCAATTCGGCGGATAATGCGGTTGTTAACATTATTTAGTAACGGTTCAAGTCGATTTTGATTCGAGCAATTGCCAAGAATTATTGTGATATTTTAGAAAGCAAAACAGAGGTGAATTATCGTTAATAATACAGAATCTTTAAAACTAGAACTACCGAGCATTTAATACGATTAATATGCAATTCCCATAAAAATTGTAACAATAGATTATTTTCAGTTTCTTCAGACATCCATTATAGTACTCACATGAAGCTACTTATTTTCAAAATCATTTCGAAGATTCGATGCTTCGAAGATATCAATGATCGCTAAATAAACAAATCGAAATCAGTCATTTTGACTGGTACGGTAGTTCTAGTGTTAAGTTTCCAATTAACCAAATAAATCGTAAAGAATGTTAAAGAATTATTATTTCTATTTAGTAGAACAAACGTCTGTAAATCCAGTGTTGAATACGTCGAAACGTTTCCTGCTGGTTGTTTACGAGACAGAACCGGCTAGCGAGAGCAAACCGCGGATAAGATGTCCCGAGCAATTCATCCACCTTTCTAACAATCCTCGGCGAACCTTGACGAGTCGGCGTACCTCCCGATATCCTTGCGCGAGAGGATACGATCGCGGGAAAGGTGCGAGTGTATTGATTATCCTCGACGCGGACTAGTTACACCGGCTAACGAAACATTCCAGCTCCAGCTCCGTGTCTCTATTGTTGAAATCGAATGTATGCAAATCCAGGGAGTGTCCCCGTTTCTCTCGCTTCAACATTATTTCACGTACAGTGCCGTTCAAAAGTTCCCGACAGGCCAGATCGTTCTTAGAGTTTTCTTTTCATACGATAAAAGCTTTGAGAACTTTTCCTTATTCTGACATGGAAACACATTTTAAGAGGATACTGTAAAAAATGGACACCTATTCCTTATACATATTTCTTTAGAAATAATTCAGTATGTTCAAAGATTCTCGGCTAGAGTGTTTAAAAAGAAAATGATGCTTGCTTTCTATTATGATAAAGATTTAATGTAGTTACATTTTACACTCAGTGTTTTTAAGGGACATGAACTCAATTCTAAAAACGGTTATTTTTGAACGTTATTGTATATCCACTGATACATGATTTGCATGATTGTCTTCGATTTGATATTTGGAAAATTCTTATGAGTAATTCGGTTATATATAGAGCAAATAATTCGAATAATTTCGTTACTTCAGAGTCAGTAGTAGTGATTTGAGAGACTGCCAAGAAAAATCGATTGGATTCAACCCTCTGCGCACAGAGATTCGTCGAAACATATAAAACCTTCAGCAGACGAAGCTGAATTATATATCAATTGCTTGAATAATCGAGAAAAAAGGAAACTATCCGCTATCTGTTGCTGTTCGAGTAATTCATTCATTTGCTCGCGACAGTCTTGCAAATATGGAAATTCCATCTCGCAAAGTATCAACATTCATTCGCTTTCAGCTTTGTAGGAGTCTTGTTCCGGATCATTCGACCGAGTAAGGTGAACCAGATCTCAGGCGATAAAAAGGTAAAAAATAGGTAGAGTTGAAAAACCAAGGAATTCCCGGTGAATCGTGAGAAACCAGTGCGAGTTCCCACGGAGACACTAGCTACTTTGTCGAATCGATGAAGCCGGTTCGCGCATATGCACTGCAGCGTCGGGTTGCAGGCCGCAGCGTCGGGCAGACAACAGCCGCGCTGACACGCTGAAATTTTAATCTGACCGGGATTCGCTGGTCATGCAGGAATGTCCACGTACGTCTTCTCAAAAAATGGCATTCCTCGCGTCGACGCCGTGCCATCGTGCAGAAGCGAGTGTAAAGCTTCGTACGTTAGAAACCTATTCGCGGAGTATCCCCGAAACCGGAAGCGAGCCTAAGTACTCGACGTTCGATCACGCAGTCGCTAGCGAATAGAATATTCAGGAATGACAAAAGGTGAAACCGAGACGTCAACACGCCGACACCGTCATCGAGCCAACCGACTAATTTAAATTCACCGTTCAATGTCAGGGTTAATCGCGACTGAAGCTAGAAAATGTTTCGAGCGATTCCGAATCACCGTTTCCCAGGCATTTGAATATTCAAACGAAGAAGCAGTGGGTTTGCCAAAGAAAATAAAGATAGCTCCCTCTCATAAGCAACACAATGTTGTTCCTCTGATTCCAAAATGGCTACCTCACTGTACTTAACCGTCGTACCCTCGATTTCATATGAATCACTAAACGTCCACTTAAAATCATCTGATATTCAGTCGGAATTCCCTTATTCTATGTCATATTTTGAGAGCAAACTTTTAACCGTAAGACTCATATCATAAGCTGAATAAGAACAGCATTAATTTCTAACTGGCGTTTCAATTATACAAACGTCCCGTCCGAACACACACGTCACAAAACGATCCCTCGTCTAACCGTACAACAAAGAACGCGTCAACGGTCGATCCGTCAGCCTAAAGCAGGCGACGTGTCTATGGAAATTGCACTGGGGTTTGCGTAAACAAGAGGAAAGTTGGTAAACAAGTGACTAAAAGGTGTTATTAAATGTAGAAACGAGGAAAACAATGGAATGGCGGATGGTGCCGAAAAAGATGAGGCGAAGCCGAACGGAACGGTACTTACCAAGTGTTCTGTGAGTGGATAACAACACAACTGGAACAGGTTACCGTGAAAGCACCGTTTATACCGGCTCCTCGACCAATGGCGGCCGAGCTCGGTTGAATTCTGCCTATCAGCAGCCGTACCGTGACGTCAGGCTCGGCCAAAGAAAGCTCAGCTTGCGGGCCGGATCGATAAGTTCCAGGAACGTTGGTGGTGTGATACCCTCGCAGGCTGCATGCCGGGGTAGATGCATCGCGAGGGGGCACGCGCAGACTGCTCGCCACCCCTCGCGAGCGGATTGCTGCCCGCCGCGGAATGTACGCCCCTGAACCATGGGAAACTGCCGTGGCTCGGCGTGGAAATTTATTTTGCCGCATATACCGCGACTTTTTACGCGAACACGTAGGTTGATGCGGCTAATCATGCCACCGGCCGCCGGGGCGGGGGCTGTTCCGCGAAACGGGCGAACTGGCAAACGGTTCACGCGTTCCTGTTACCAACGGAATAATTCTCTTGTTTTCCTATGGATACTTGACCCTCTCGGTATCTTTAACAATAGACTTACTGACATTTACTGTACAGTTTGCTCTGTTGTTCTTGGAAAGATCGTTATACGTTCATTTAGATCTTAGAAATTGGAGGCTTGAGAGTGGGCAATTAGGATACACGAGATTTACTAACATTATCTGTAACAATAGATTTACTGACATTTATTGAATAGTTTGTTGTGTTGTTCTTGGAAGTATTGTTATCTGTTTATTTAGATCCTAGAAATTAGAGGCAAGAGTGGACAATTAGGATGCATGTTTGCGTAGCTGCGTTAATAAAAATGGACCCAAACATTTACCAAATAATGCTTGTAAAATTAAATACGAGTCAGATTGACTCGTTCCGTGAATATAGTGTTAATAGTTGATATTTCGGCCTCGCAATTGAAAATATTCTTTCATTTTTAGGAGAGTACATGCGAAACTACATGCGTTTCACGATAGTATCTTTATGTTTGAAACAGGTATGTTAATTTTGAGAAACGCCTGATAAAGCGTGTTTTGCGATGTATATTTCAGTGATACGCGAAGAAATTGTGAGGTAGTATTAAGAGTGTTAACGATATCGTTACTTGCTTGATCAGTTATGTAGTTTCTTCGATTTGATCTTGTGTTTGTGTAATAATGGAACGATAGATCGAGGAATTTTGAACGAGTTTTCCAGTACAAAGGTTGTAGATTAAACGAGACCGACTGGAAGGGTTGTCCAAGGCTCTCGAGAGGTTTGAAAAATACTCTCGGGTTTTCTAGACACTTCTGAAGTCGACACGAGCCACTTATCTTATCGGTGTAATACAGAACACATAATGGTTGGTGAAACTGTGTTCTGTGGATTTTTGCTGAACGTTGAGTTTAGGAGGAAGTGGTCGTTAATGTATGTAACTTGATATGTTTTGATGAAGCCGGTATTGACGCAGTTCTGTTAGCGATATATCTGTAGATATAAGGAAGAACGAGAGGAAGAATTTATTTTGTTCATTTTGTTTAAGAACGAGAAGGAAAAGAAAAGTTTTTAATGAAAAGAGACTTGAAAAAAAATATTTGGCCCATGGGGGGATCGAACCCGCGACCTTCGCGTTATTAGCACGACGCTCTAACCAACTGAGCTAATAGGCCATCTGTTCATAGGTTTTTCTTTTATATATTTAAGTGCAATTATGTACTACTTTCAATTATATCATGTATTCTTTATTTGAATGAAATAAATCCATACGTTTCTACACTTTTCTGTAATGTTTAACATGTACAGTGTCAGATAAGCTCTAGTAAGTTAGATTGGATAGGTTACAAGTGCTTTGTAGATTAATGTTGAATGCTAAGTTTGACCAATCGTGTCAGCATGCAAATCATTGTATTGCTAACGATCGAATGCCAATATTCGAGCTAGCGATTGAAAACAATTGCACCGCATGAACTTTGTCTACTGTTTGGACTTTGAATAGATACACGAAGCATCAAATACAGATAATATGGTGACTTGCAACAATGGATATCTATCAGAGACAATTTGTTACACGAATGGTATACTTGGCAATCAGTATGCCCCAGTTTTGCTTATATATTGTTAGGTTTGATGTCCTCGAAAAACAATGTATAGAAATGAATGTCAAATAGACTCATATAAATATAATTGACTTAAGAATTTTCTGTTTGTCCTCGCGTGATATGAAAATATATATACACAGAAACGAAATTATGTTAGGGACAAAGTATCGTAAGAAAATTCATTGTTAACTGAATATAAATAAAAATTATGCTGAGAAACTTTGTTTGATCTTACCATCACTGAATAAAAAGAATATACAATACTATTGCTAAAAACTTATCGGTGAATGTTGAAGTAAATAACTGCTATACTGACTTACGATCTATAAATCTTCAGTCCATAAAGTAAGAGTTCTGAATTACCGACACTGTAACAAATTTTTTACCATTGACCGAGTCCGCTAGTGCATTCTGGTATTTTCTAGAACATCAGTATTTCAAAAAGTAGACAGAAGTATACATTACATGCACAGTTTGTTGGTACGTATTTTAATACTAAAATTACTCGTCCATTAGTCAAAATGACCAATTTCTAATTTCTTCTTTTACAGTTACTGTAAAAGTACAGACACTTCTTTTAGGAATGGTTAAACAAGCTGATTTAATACCTAACCTAATACCTAACCTAAAATACAAGCCAATTGAAATCTGAATAGATTCACGCTTATTTTACAAAGAAATTGTAGAAAGACGATTTAAATGCTCGGTAGCTAGTGTTAAGCTGTTTAATATTTTTGATTTTAATTCCCATCGCTCATAGCGCTGCATGCAAACCAGCCTGAAAATGGTAGAGGTTCCCAGAACTCCCGAGAGGGTGCGACAAAATCTTAGATCACTGGTTATGGCTACACTATATCTGATCTATGGTAGAAATATACTTTTCAGGGAACTGTATTGAATCGTTATCTACTCCAACTTACGTTGAAGCTTAGACGCCACTGTAAAACTCTATTATCCGCCCATGGTACGAGAATAATGCTGAATTTATCAGTGATGATAAGGTATACTGCCTTGTAAAATTCAAATTCGATTCAAATGTTTACGGGTAGTTAGAAGAATCTGATGTACTAGGAAATTGACGGTGGTACTGTTTGAGTGAGTATTAGGTTAAGCTTATATCGTCTTAGAGCACGTTTTTAAAAATGTATTATTCATGGTTTTTTAACGCTAGAACTACCGATCACTTAAACCGATTTTTACAAACTTTCTAATAACCATAAGCGTGCGTTTATTAAGATCTCAATCTTGCCATTACCGACTTAGTTTCGTTAATCATTTTTGGCGGGAATGTCTTTTTCAATAATGGTAAAAGAAGAAACCAGGAATAAGTCATGTTGACCCATATAGTAGTTCTAGTGTTAATGAGAAATCGTTAAAGCGAGTAGAGTTCAGGAAAGGTTCTGTCAGGTACGTAAAATACACCCAGAGTGAAATGTATTGTAATCTATATTTTTAGACTCGTGACAATTTCTTCAGAATCGTCGTGTACAAGTAATGTCATAGACGATAAACAGTACTCTCTACAAATAAATGGAAATAGGCTCCCCAAACGCAACGGGGTCAAGGCGCTCATCAACCTCACGAGCCAGCTGTCAACTTCCGGTGGCTCTCTACGCACCTCCACTCTTTCCAAACCTCATCGGCAGATGCTGCGGTCAGTATACGAAATATATTTATCGTCGCCGGACTAAATTCGAATATTCAAGTAACACGTGCGCCGCCTCTACAAAAACCCGCACCAAAATCCATAATTCTCGAGCAGATTCTTACTTCGACCCTCCGTACACACAAACCAAAAATAAGAAAGCATCTATAACGTCAATCTCCCATTTCTATATACTCATCGATTTTCAAATATAAATCCCCTTATTTTCAAATATAATCTCTATATTTTCTTCTCCGACAACAACCGTTAACCCTTAACTGACCAAAACTACTTCAAGTTTATTTCCCGCCTAAAGAACCGTAACATAGATAAGCGCAGACAAATTCACAGCAGTGACCTAGCACAATACTGAACGCGTTAATTGTAAATATTACAAGAATAACACTGACAAAAATAACAGAACGACCTCTGCCGCCGTATACGCGGCAGTGGACTTTATTTATTATACATTGGATATTCGATTATTACTATATATTGTATCCAGTAAGTAACAGTGCCGCTTGATGGCGGCATTACGGTGAAAAAGAATCCGAAATTTTCAAAAACCACGTTTTCCAGCTGGACGATCAAGAACATCCATTCCGCCCCGTCAACGGCTACCTCCGGCAACCCCTGAAATTTCCGGTCGAACGGCGGTTCACGCGTTCGAGAAGAATCAACGCGCGTTCGAAGGGAGACGAATGGTTGCCGATCTTAGTTCACCGCCGATAATAAACGGAGAATCGCGTTGCTGCGGCCGAAGGGAGGATGAAACGGGTGGTTGCCGGGGCCGTCGCGGGAGGAGGGAGGCGATTTCGGGGGCGAAAGCGCGGCACAGGGACGAGGAAATGGGAACGCCGGGGCAGGAATCGCGGCGAGAGAGCGGCGAAGTGTATAACCAAGCCGAAAAGTCGAGCGACGCCAAAGTTAAATATAAATGTCGCGGCAGAGCGTCCTGGACCGATGAACCAGCGTAGCGAGGGACCGACCAGTCTCTTCGTGGTCTTCGTCGTGGACCGACTACGAAAAACCGACTACGAAACCCATCGTTGCGCGCGCCGCACGATCTTTCCGCCACGATCGATCCACCCCCTCGATCATCGAGGCTCGCGATCGCCGGCCCGAGTGAACAACACGCGAGAACCGTGCCCCGATGAGAGCCCAGGGGATCGCACCTTGAACGAAACCGATCGAACCGCTCTCTCTACTGTATTTCTACGCTACCCCTTCCGCCTCTCTTCGATCACCGGAAGCGACTGCGACGACTATCGAGTGCCCCCCGAGTGGATTTTTAACACGGTGTACCCCGATTCCGTCGAGCGACTTCAGTTCGACGCCCTACCGGTACTGTACCTTGAATTTTATTTACTTAGAAGTTTAGCGAGTCGCCTTTGGAACGCACCCCCTGCTTTCTGCGGGCGGATTATCGGCTTGTTTGTACATATACTGGATTCGCCAGTGTATCCTTTGAGTTATTTTAAGTTGATTATCTTTTTGGTTTTGAGAGGATTGCTAGTTTGAGAAGGTAGCACTGTTATATGGTTATTGCGGTGGTTTTGGGAGTTGCTTCCGAGGTCTGTGGCGTGTACTGTGAATAAATTAGTCAGTTTTTAATTATCGAGGGTTTACTTCGTTCATGTTCGACCTCGCGGTCACCATCATTGAAATATCTATCAAAATTATGCAACTAGATTTCATAGGCGTGGCTTCTTTCGTAATTTATAATGTCTCTGAATTAATGATTATTATAAAATACCAAAGAAATGTTGGAAACTCTTTAAATCTCCTATTCGCGCATCGGATAACTCCACAGATCTCGAAGAAAATGAAGTTCTATCCCCATCGATCGTCGGATCTGAATATTAACCGATCTTCCTCGGGCCGAGGTCCGAGGGTTTCAACAATAACTGGCCACCGGGGTTCACCGGTGCGAGCAACCTGTGTCAGAAGCATCCGTTCAGAACGAACGCCTATTTCTGTTCGTTAATTCGGCAGTAATCTTATTTTTGGACGCAGCATCCGAGGTCCAGGATCCAGCGAGCTAACAGCCGTTCGACCGTAGATAACGTCCGCCCTCTCCCCGCGGGATACGATAGAATTTCAGTACCGTCTTGGTCCGCGTGATTTTATTCGTCGCTATCGGGACAGTAGGTACCAGAAACGTCGACCGAACGTTTTGCTCCAAGTTCATCGCGTTCCCGATGCGGGAACAATTCGAACTGTGCCGCACGCGTTCGTCGGTCCTCATTCAGGACAAGTTCCTCACTTGAAGCTTCGCTAGAAAATATCTTTCATTCCTGTTCATCTCGTGTAAGAAAGGAACAAGGTTTGTTCTTTCCTTTTCCTGAGCTTTCGAGAACAATCTAGCTTTCTCTCTTGTTCTATGATTTTTAGACTACCTTTTGTTCCTACCTCTTCTTCAATGGCCTCTAGAACTATCTTCGGTGCGACTACTTTCCCCACGGTTTCGAGAACAATCCGTTGTTCCTTCTTCTATCTTCCTCTATCACCTCTAGAATTACATCATTTCCTAAACTTCTTTTCCCCACGTTCCAAAAGGCGCGCGTCTCTTTTACAACTTCTTGTCCCAATCCTATTTCGAGAACTGCCTACGCGTCTCTTTTCCTCTTTTTCTCATCGTTTCGACAACTGTTCCTCTCAATCATTTGTTCAATGCCCTCTGGAATGATCTTTTTCGTTTTCCTCTGCAGCCTCTAGAACCACTGTTTCTTCCAATAGTGTTCAAGAGGAGCCGTGCACCTGGAATTCGTGCCCGAATCCGTTCTCGAGTGGTATCGCGCGTATAAATAGGCCGGCACTTGATTCTTTTCGATGCTTTATCGAAATCGGTGGAACGAACCTCGCCGAGGCTTCGCTCCCCTTCCTTCCCCGCCGGACGCCCCGGTAATGGCGCTCGTGAACTTTAACAAGAACAAAATGGACGCGTGTCTTTGAGCAGCGATTTGTTGGTTCTGAGGGGGAAATCCGTCGGATGGATTCCGTACCGGCATCTTTTCTCGTAACGGATGCACCGTTCGACGGTTGTTTGCTTTTACGAGGCGGAAACGGAGCTGCGTAAAATCCGACGGGGAAACGAATCCGTGGCATCGGCGGGATTCCATGCGGAGGAGATGCTGGGACTGTGGAAATCGAGTCGCGATGATTCTCCGTTGGAAACGAAGCTTCTATTAATAGTCCGTGTCATTGTAAGTGTCGAAGGTTTCGGCTAAGCGTGGAAAAGTTTGAGATTTCCGTCGTCGTTCTACTTTCCAGTGGAATTCTCGCATCCCGAAGAATATTTTTAACAAATTCTGGGAGAAGAGTAACTTCCTGTCGATGGAAATATTTAGGAAAGGTAAAATTTGATTAGTTATTTCACGAGTATACGATTTTCGTGATCGTCCCATTTTTCAGGGGAATTCTCGTATTTCAAAAAATATTTTTAACAAATTTCGGGAGAAGAGTAACTTCCAGTTGATGGGAATATTTCGAGAAAGTTCCAAGTAAAATTTATAGAATTCAAAAAGTTTTAAAGACTGTCGGAACACTTGGATTTCTTTGACTCTGCTCGTCGGGAAAATTGAATGAAAATGTATCATGCACGGTTGCCGGATGGGCAATCAACAATGGCGCCACACACCCGCGCAAATTCGAGCAGCGAGATTCGCACGGCTGCGACCGCGAGGCTAATTGTAGGTGTTAATATTCACGTCACTTTCTGAAATATCTGACGCAGTCATTGCAAATATACCTGCCGTGTCGGACACGTCTGTGGGCACTGCTCGAGTCTATCTGAAATAGAATTGTCGCTATATTTAGTCGGCCTACACTCGATATCCAGCCAAAAACCTTTAGACCTTCGACCCGTGTAACCATATCACGCAGACTTCCTTATATTCCAGAATAATTTAAGGGGAACATTGTTCTCTGAAACGGAATTCATTTGAAAGGTAATCAAGTGGCTATTGTTAGTCTCGAATCTTCTTCGGAATTGCAACAGCTATAGCTTGCCGTTTAATAAAGTCAGCGTTTAGCCCTGAATCTTCTTCATCTAATCGCTCGCTCTTCTAACTCTATTACTCGAGTATTTCCAACATTAGGTACAATCGAAAAACTCTAAAAAAACCAGTATTCCTTCCATCGAAAATTTGAAAACAAACATTTATTCTTGAATCGTTAAATATTCCCTTTCAGTTCAACGAACCTTTCATCCAAGAGTTCAAGTCTAACGCGATTTTCGATTAGCATTACGCGTTCACCGATCGAAAACGAAACAGTTCTTCTATTAGCAATCGTAATTTTGACATCCGCGCAGCGGCGTAAGCAACGAATTTAAATGGCACACGATGCCAGTGAAATTTCTAAAGTCTTCGATGACTACCGCGATTTCGCTGGATGACGTTCGAGTGATCGCTCGCCAGCGGGTAGTTTAAATAACAAAGTACCCCGCCTACGCGTGCGTGATTATCGAACCAGCTCAGAAATTCTCCGAACCGGCGAAAGTATCGTTGAAATCCTCCCGTTTGATTCGCGCAGCCCCGTATTTCAACGACTCGGCGGTTGTGTAATGTCACGCACGCCGCGGCGCCTCGATTTGTCCATTACGCATTTTTCACACGCTGGCGTGCACGAGTCAGCGGAAAGGCAGACAATCTAACCGCCTATTTCGAGAGATTTCTGGATGATTGCCCATTCTAATCTGCCTACTCACTGCCACTGCGCGACCCAGAGCTCGTTAAGCATCGAAGACGTTCTAGCTGCCACGAATTACCGAGTCGCCGTTCGAATCTATATACCGCAACCCGGTGCTGCCAATCGATTCACTTACAAAAATATCCCACCGAGTGTACACAATTTTTTTATTGAACACTCTGTTCTTAACCTTAGATAACTAAACTGAAATTGGCGTAACTAAACGTTCGGCTCGTAGGCTACGAATTAAAGACACGCACAGTTTTTATATTTCGTCCATTTCAAACGCACAGATTAAGAGATATATTATTAGATTTTAATTAGAAAATTAACGTATCCAGTCGTGGTAGACGTTAAGAATGTGCTCTTGCGTTCGAATTCTCAAAAATGACGGAGCTTGGTAAACTACTTAGACGAATGTTTAGTTACCCAGGGTCAACGTTCCATTCGTTCATATTTCTAGTGAATATTCAATCAAATTGAATATTCAACACTCCAATCACTCTTGTATTCAAGCCTCTCAACTACTCATACTTCCGACACCTAGAACTCTTTCTTCGACCGTACAAATCATCAAAACAGTGCTACCAAAGTACAAAAAATCAGAATCCAACAGCTCCAAACATCGATTCAATGGCACCAGCAGCTAGATCAAAGTACAAGCCGCGAATAAATCCAGCAAAATTTCCAATTCCTAAATTTCTCAGGCGAACTGACATCGAACATCCGTCGATACATACACCTTTGGTTCCCAAGAGATCGCTGTATCCTTTCGTGCCAAAGATATATGGAGCGAACGGTACAGCCGCATTAGCCTCTCAGCGACTCGTATTATCCTGCGACGGTCAGGGTGGTTCCAATCGCGACAGATCTGAAAGAGAATAAACTGATCGGCGAGAGGCCGCGTCGTTTGCAGCGATGCTAGGTGATCAAAGTACGCCGCGGGAAGCTTCGAAATAGCCAGAGATGTCGCAGCCGCCGTCGAAACCCCACGGAAAGCCTGGGCCAGGGGGCGGTTGGTCTGCCAGACCGAACGTGCCCGGCCACATCAGGCCCCCGTCACCTTACAGCCCCTCGAGCTCGCCGCACCCGCAACGGCCCCGGGGGCCGCCCACCCCTGTTCATCATGCTCATCCTACGTCGCCGATGACGTACTCCGGAATGATGCACCCGATGAGCCCGGTGCCGATCGGCATGCCGATCTCGCCGGGGATTTCGCCGGTCTTCGGATCACCGTCCGGCTACATACAGTGTCCTAGACCTAGGTGGCCGTCCCCGATGCCTGTCGGGAGCCAGGCGCCCAGACCCTACATACCGGCTCAGGTGAGTTTCATTGGAAAGTTTTCTTTCATTTCTTCGCCGCTGATTTGCAATCTGCACACGTGGGCGGTGAGCAGACTCGTGGGAGTGTTCAGTTTATATTTAACCCCTTGGCGTACTATTTACTTTCGCCACTAAGCTCATGCACCATTTTAACTATCGACAATCTGAAGGAAACGCAACGAAATTGTCCATTCTGCTTCAAGAAATTTTATTTGAAGATAATACAACGATAATAGCAAAATAGTTTGCTTTGATCCGTGGGTAATGAATAACGGCTGCTGTTAAATTAGTCTAGAAATCTTCGTCGCGAGTCTCACTCGTCATTGCACGGCAAGGGGTTAAGCATAGATAATTGGACACTCGTTTAAGCAGTGTAAATTGTATTTGGAGACGCAGATTTTTAACATCTGTGACTACAAACGTTAGTTTTAGAGGCTACTCTATTTCCTAAGTGAAATTTGATATTGTATCTCTTAAGCTGAGCTACTCTGAAATGTTCATTCTTAGTCTATGAGTGTTTAGTTAATTCTTAGTCTATGATGGAATTAACGAAGGTTCAATCAGCTCGATGTTTCATTCGAGGCGAAACGAAACCAGCCCATCCCAGCAGTCCGAACCTTTTTAATCAAAGAGGAACAATACTATTGAAAGATGTCTGAGATTCCACGCCCACGTTCGCGAGGTCCGAAGCCGCAGTTCGCATTCCGAACTTACGAAACACGAACACCTCGGTACCTATTGACATCCTTCAAGCTCTCGCCGAGTTCCGCCGGCTAACTCGATTTATTCGACGCGCCGTTAGCCATCGAAGTAGACGGGATCGATCGGTAAGCGTATCGCCGTTGGATCCGGGGTACGTGTACACAGCTACAGGCACACGTTCACCTCCGGCCCAGCGGGGAAACGATTTACAGAACCGGCCGGTTGCATGCGGTTCGTTGCTCGCCGAGCGAACGGTCGTACACGTGTCAACTCGCGGAATCGAGTGCGGCGGCGAAACAGCCGACCGACCGTTCGAGTGTTCGCACTCGAGGCCGAAAATTCTTTCGTGTCACGGAACTCGGGGGGGCGGTGCTGCTCTCCCGCCCGCTCGATGAAAGTCGATTCATTGTGCTCGGCCGGGTCGCGTTTTACGATCACCTGGAAATATGCGCCTCGGTAACCGGTAAACGGTTCGGCTGAACCTTAACCCTTTGAGAACGAATGCCGTCGTTCCGGCGATATCGAGGTTTTGTGTTTGAAACGGCAAGACACGGTGGAATTGTTCGAATAAAAGATCAGCGGATAGCTCTTTTTCCGTTGGAACTTCAGAGTTCGACGTGCAGTTTACATTTCCTTCTGCGAAAGGTTTCGAATACTTCAAAAAATCTTTGTTCTCAAAGGGTTAACCCTTTTCTGTCGTGTCGTGACTCGACATCAGTTTCATTCATAGGTGCGCCAAGATATTTTTCAAATAGATTATATTCTTGTGTTGTTCTCAATATTATTAGTAAGAAGAATCGTTTACACTGCTCTACAAACTGTCTGTTCCTTCAAATGCATTTCGAATAAAATATCTTAATAATACAGTTATCGAGGACAAAATGCAATAGAAATTCAGAGTGCAAGAGGTTTACTCTTTGATTCGCGCAAAATGTTGATTTTTCAAATGAAAATCATTTCGTACAAGGACTACACAGCAACACATTCGTAACCTTCAGTGTTGTTCGAGCCGTCGAATTTTGGGGTTTCGCCCACAGGCGTGCAACGGCGCGATACGCACGTGGGGAGACGTTTCGCGTGTTAAACCGGCGAGACGCGTGTTCGTCCACCTACGCGCCACGGCGCGTTTGACCGAGGCGAAATAAAATGTAGGCCGCGGCGGGTCCCGTCGACCGGTTTCTCTAACGCGCGCCAGGTGTGAATGCACCGCGATAATTCGTTCGCGCGTTAAAATGCACGCGCACCCGGCAGACGCGACTTCGTTTCGAATGACGGCTGTTCGTTGCACGGTTCGATTGCTTGGGAGGGATGGGAAGTAACGTGAAGTGGAATCGATTAGTATAAAGTGTAGAATAGATTAGGAAATGAAGCAGGATAAAGTAGAGTACAGAACAGGACAGAATAGAATGGACAATGGAATAATAAGAACGTAAAATGGAGTACAATGCAGGAAGTGTAAATAATTGAGTAACGTGGAACGTAGAATGCAGTATTGAAAGCAGGGTATAGTCCAAGGTGGAATATAGTAGAATAGAATAGAACGAGGTACAGTCGCTTGGAGAGAAAGTAGAAGTTCGAAGGAAAAAATGATAATCGCGCAATGGAGTCTAACGTGAAGTAGCATCGAGTAGTATAGAGTGTAGAATAGATTAGAAAATGAAGTAGGGTGAAGTAGAGTACAGAACAGGGCAGAATAGAGTGGACGATTAGAGCCGAAAATGGAGTACAGTGCAGTAAAGTAAATAATTGAATAATGTAGAATAGAGAACAGAGTAGAGTGCAAAGTGAAACACAGTAGAGCAGAGAACAAGGCACAGAGTATTGTCAGTCGGAGAGAAAGTAGAAGTTCGGAGGGAAACACGATCATCGCAGAATGGAGTAGTAAAATGTTACTATCGCGCATCGAAGCAGAATCGCTCAGTCTCAGGTTACCGAAAAATCCATTGGAAAAAAGACGGGCGATTCAATAAACGTAAGGAAGAAAAAGAAACATCAGTTTCTTATTCGGCCAGTATATCTCTCACGGGAAACGAATGGATGTTTATAAACAGCCGCGTGCCCGCTGGGGCATCGATGAATACTCCATGTGCGAGCCAGTCGCCTCGTACAGTCAGGATATTGCCGATGCGGCTTCGGACAGTCCCACCCTTTCAGGATGAAAACTCGAATGAAACGAAGCATTGAGTTCGAACGTCGTATTTCATATTTTTACACTGGAACCGCCGTTAACGTTAGTCGTCGAAAATACTATCAATATTTCGTTAGGAAACAATGAGCACATCTATCGCAGAAACTTCCGAGTGTAAATTGTTCATTAACCCTCTTAGTATTCTGCGATTTTCCAAGACGTTCATTCTAATCATCGTAATTTCCTTAATATTAAAGATAAATCTTCATCTTTTCGTTTCAATATAAAAACTATGCAGTAAGCGAAGCCGAAATATCGGCTGATGGGTACTAAAAGGGTTAGTCAGCGTTCGCCGACACCGATTAATCCGATGATTTCGCGTTGCACTTCGACAGAGCTCAGCGGAAAGCGGCGCATCGTCGCCATTGGTCTGCGGGCCGCCGGAATACATGATCGGCCCGTACAGATCCGGCGATTACGAGTACGTCGGCGTGCCGCTGGAGCACTCGCAGACGGAAGAGGAATCCAGCGGTCCCAGCACCGCGGAAATAATAGCCAACCAGAGCCAAGATTACGTGGACGAGAAGCTCGCCGAGTACCAGGCGACGATACAGCAACTTCAAAGTGAGTACCACATATCCCCGGTATCACGTGTTCAGCTCCTAAATCATTCCAGCCATAATCACCACACCGTAAACGCTACGGAAAATTACATTTTGTGGCGTACTTTAAGTGGAAACCAGTCAAACCGAGCGTACAATCTCCGAGAAGATTTCCAATGAACATGATTAACGCGCCTTTTAATCGCCTCTTTCGTAAATCAATCCGCGAAACTGTTTCTCGCGGATAGGAATACTAGTGGAAACATGCTAATTGTTTAATTAACCTTTGATACTTCAACTGTCACGTCACCTGAATTTGGGTGTCATTTTTTAGATAACGAACATTTCACTGGTTTCAAAGTTTACGGTGTTTTATGTGGAAGCGTGAAAATTACCGATTAATGTTAAATATTCTCGTTTGTAGTAATTAATACAAAAATGTACTGTGTTTATTCGTTTCTACTTTAATGTTCACGGTATTTTATATAGAAGTCTGCGAGATTGCACGTCCATATTCAAAAGTTCAAGAAACCCAATATCCGCGAGAATATTTCGGTTGCATTCAATTTCGCGTCGAGCAATCGAACGATTTAAATGAATCGAGGCTTTAATCTTGCTATTAAATTGACTTTCGCTTCCAAGATTCGGACGGAAAATCCGTAAATCTGTCCAACGAACGCGTCCTCTAATAGTTCCGAATAATTTAAGCGCGGACCGACGCAGCGTTTCGGACAGGTTGTTCGAAAATTCGTTTTTATTGGCACCGAGCTGCGGCCCGCGTTATTTCGGTGCTCGCCGGACATTGACAATGATACTCATTAAGCAAACCAAAAACCGATGTTTCCGATTGCCGGTTACGCGATACATTTTGGCAGCCGAGGAGTCAATGGGGTTCAGCGGATGCCAATTCAGAATTTAACGCTTACCGCCGCGTCCTGCGGAAACTTTCATTCTAGCAGGCGTACCTTTTCAATTCGCACACTCCAATTTTAATGAAACTTATATGAAACATCGTTCTCAAGAAAATATTCGACACGTATTTTTTCTTATCGGCCAACATCCATTTTAACCGAGTGAAAAGACCCCTTACAGTTCAAGATTGAAAGTATATTTTTACATCTCTGAAACCAGAGTGTATGGAAGAGAAATTTTCTTTTCAAAATATTCGCTTCAAAATGGACAATTTAGATTTCTACCCCTAGTTTCAGAGATGTAAAGAAAATATTTTCAATCCTCAACTTTAAGGGACGTTTTCAACCCCTCAAATTGGATGTTACCCGATAAGAGAAAATACGTGTCAAATCTCTTTCCGAGAACTATGTCTCATGTAAGTTTCATTAAAATCGACGTGCGCCGGTTGGAAAGGCTCCCTTGTAAGTTCGATTTTCGGCGAGCCTCGGCTCGAAGAGTATCGCCGGTAATTCGAATCGACTGCGCACGCGAGTTCCAGTTCCATATATTTATCCAGCAACATTAAACACTGCTATCGAGATGGACGCGCGAGGCTCGGGCGTTCACGTGCAAACGCAATAATTAGCGGGAAACGGCTAATTTATGCGACGCGACGTCTGTTTATCATTCCATCTGTCCGATCGACCGGCGACGGAAACTTTTATTGCGCAACCGCGGTCCATCGGGACGATCCGCGCGAAAGCTTCTGCGAAGATCCGCCGGCGCGGAAATCAGATTCGAGTATAAATTTCCGAACGCTCGCCGACGGCGCGACGCCATTTTGCTTGTAACCCTAAACAATCGCGGCTTCAAAGCAACCCGGAGATTCTGCCAACAGTTTCGGGCGGCGCGATTTATGCGGGCGATGATTACGATAGGATGTTTCTGAGAATTGCTCGCTGGTTTGTCAATTAATTAGTTCATCCGACTCGGGTCGATTTATTTAACAGCTCAGGAATTCTGGGGGACTCGAACGATCCTTTGATTGAAGTTATTCGCGAGCGTTCTGACGTGGTTTTTCAAATGTAAGGGAAATTTGAAATTTTTATTTTGAAACGTAAGGCAGAAGTTAGTTCCTTCAGAAGTTAGTCTAAATTCAGTATTTAATACACGCACCGACACTTTATTATATTTATTCTTAACGTAACCAGTCAAATAACTGTTTACAAAATACAAACAAATTATAAGATTCTTCTCAGTAGTGGCAGAAACGAAGGGAAACATAAAAATGAAAAAATTAATTAATCGGACAATGTAGGAATTGATATCAAGTGAAATGAATGAACAGAAACGCAGAATATCAAGCAAACGAAAACCGGTCATTTAACCGGTCGCGGTACATTTAGTGGTAATGTACTAAAATCTACATACCAAAATAAGCAAGACAATTAAGCATATGACACGAGTCTCTGCAAACACTGTAGAGAACAGTTTAATAGACTAATTTCGTGGTTAAACGCCGACGCAACGAACGTCGCGACTGACCTACCACAAGCGTGCTCGGCGAACGATTCCCATGCCGATCGTTCGATCCCGATCCGCGAAATTCCACGAGCATCGATCGCGGATCAATGGTTACCGATAGCGTGCGCGAGCCTCTGACTCGCATACTTATCTGCTGAACCGTGCAGGAGAAATAGAAGACCGCCGCTCGCCTATTTATAAATAGACGTGACGAGCACCTGCCGCCGGCACATTCGCAATTGCCGCCATTGAGTTTTTCTCCTCGGCCGCACGAAAGTGGCCGACTGATCACCGGCGAATTAGAAAAATCCATCGATCGCAGGATAAGGCGGACGTGGAAGACCTGCACGTTCGACCGCAAGTCAATGACTTCGTACAGTTTTATGAATGAAACTTGTTTTCGTCCGTTACTAAGGTGGACTGCGAGCACGAGAGTTGGCGTTGCGAAATCTGTTATTGTTTACCATCGTCAGATTGTTACGCAACGCAACTAAATGGAAGAACGTTGGCCAACATTGTTGAAATGTTGAAACGTTTCAGGTGAATCACAGTTGTCCGCGATTTCTTTTCGATTGGGACGGATTCCAGTTTCCGAGTGAATTATGGAACAACCTGTAGCTCGAACACGATTATTTTTTTACGTCTGTTTGGATAAACTGGGCATCTGTCGTTAGTTTGCCGATGTTCGAATGGTACTTTGAGTACGTAGAAAATGTGAATTCTCGCAGGCAGCTTCTTTTGAAGCGTCCTGTAGATCGGAGAAAGTTAAGCAACGAGGATCACTGGTATTAGGTCGATTTCTATAGAACGCGTACTTGTTTTTTTTACCGATAAACCGTTCTAATTCTGATATGTGTTCAATAAAGAGATTAGTACAGAATTAGGGTAATCTTTGATATCCGCTATACAGAGGTTGTAGATTAATGACGGTCGGTTTTAATTTGGAATTCTTCTTATCCGAGCGTTATAACAGAAGAAGATATTAGTAACAATTGGAGCACGGATATATTGTTTATCGGCGACCGAAGATACTGAAACGGGAATGAGTAGGCGTGCCTCATCTTCGATTGCTGGAAAACATAGAGACGCGACGGTGGCTCGAAATTTAAAGTGAATCACGCGAACACAACCTCGCCGGGAAGATAATTGAGTCGCGAGGCAATCATGGAACAGTCCGCCCGAACGGTTCCGCTGGTTTATTTACTACTTGCTGCTATCAGACTGAAATTTGCATTACGCAACGATTACATATCGATACGCGTCGACGTTTCGCGGAATGGTGTTGCTGATAATGTACCGACTAATCCTCGCACCGTTCTACAAACGATATCAGAGCCGACTATTTTTATCTTGTAAACATTGTGTGTCTCTGAACTGTTTCAAACTAGTTTCTTCTTCAACTTTGGACAGTTGCCCTATGGAAAACATAAAATACGTGCTTCTACACCCACGCTGCGCGCCAGTACAGAAAATAATGCAAAATGGAGATCTCAAAACTCGAAACTTGTTCGAAATCTTCCATTGTTAACGACTTTGAGAAATTAAAACCATAATGAAACTTCTTCTTTAGAGTTTTGAGATTTCCCTTTTACATTATTTTCCCTATTTATGCATACTGCGAATGTAGAACTACTAATTTCTTTAATTATTCGCGGTGCGATGACATTTTTTATCGAAGAGTCTATCTTGACAGAATTTTGCTTCCTGAATCGTAGCGCACAATCGAGTTACGTTAGGTTAGTTACGACAGCGCGTCTCCAAATATTTGCGCAGCCATGTTTTGTGTTTCTCGTTCTCCAAGATTTCATCTGCGCACAAACAACGTCCTTGGGATGATTAAGTCCGCGTGGGAGACCCGTTCGATTTTCCCGTAGAAAACTCTCTCCGTTCTCCCGAGATCCTATAGGAAACGATTGGCCTTCGTTGAACGCTCTGAAAATGAAATGTCCCCGGTAACTCGGCTCCGACGCGGTATTACCAGTAATTGCGAGACAATAAAGTATCAATTGATATCGGAATTCGAGAGATATAAGAATTGTCGGGAGATCGATATACTTGGCGAGTAGATTGTTCGGTGAAAAAGTAGCGAAGCTGCAAAGTGATTTTGAAATTATTATTCTTTCAACACACGCGACCCGTACGGTCGCAATTAAATGGTATTTGGTCTATATTCAATTATAGAGAATATTCGCCTCTCGTTATGCTGCTGACAAGCCGAAGACAAAGAAATTGCGGTCGAACGTAATATTTTATGGACCATTGAACCTTCGCAAATACCGGAGCACTCAAACATTAGAGGTACCGCTGCTCATTTAGCCTTGAGCTCGAAACTGATTTTATCAACGTTGTAGTTGCCATGATACAAGTTCACAGTGTTTCCCACACTTACAACACAATTGCAATTCGCTGAACCGGGTTACAGCTCTCGTATACGCCTACTTGTTTAACCTTAGAAAGACTGAACAGCTCGCGGTACGTAACCAATTCAATACTCTTTTTCCAGTAACAATGTCATCATTAAACGAACAGTGGTTTTTCAATGTCAATCTCGAATGCTCGAGTATTTATAAGGAGAGGAGCCCTCTCGAAAAGTAGAACACCTTTTATGAAGAAAATTTGTTCCTGCGAGCCAAAGTGGCGTCTCCACTCTTCAAACTCATAAATTTTAAATTCAAGTTCCCTCGAAACCCACGATTACCACTCCGAAAACCCATTATCGGCAATTTTTCCCGGGTCATCAACCTCCAGCAGTCTCACCCCGAAACTCTCTATTCCTCGCGAAACCCAGCCAGCTCCGAAACTTCCACATTCATCAACCAGCACCAGTGCCACCTGAAAACTCTCGATTCCTCGGCAAACCCGTCCAACTCGTAAATCTGCAAGTTCATCAACCTCCAGCAGTCTCACCCCTAAACTCCCCATTCCTCGGCAAACCCAGCAGACTCGAAAACCTCGAGATTCATCAACCAGCATCGATCCCAGCCGAAAACAGTGGATTCCCGAAGGAAGCCATTCAACCCTGAAATCCGGAATTTCCTCCAGCATCCGCAGTGATCGAACCGACGTATCTCGAAGCCGGAGACAGTCGTAGGCGGTCGCGTTTTCAAACGGTTCGCGGGCGAAGTGACATTTAACCGGTCGGAGGAGAAGGACGCAGGATAAAGGCATCGATCGGGGCCGGTGTGTTCCCATCAGGAAGGTTGGATTGGCCGGAGAGCAGAGCGAGAGGGAGAGAGCGAAACGATAGAGAGTGGGCGGCGGGGAGGGAGCGACGGACGGGCAGAGAAGCCGGTGGCTAGACGACGGGCGGCATGTAAAGCGTCTCGGGTGGCGCACGGGTTTCGCCTCGTCACGGCGGTCGTGCTCGTCGTCGACGGGTTCCCTTGGTCCTCCTCCGGCGTCGTAGTCCTCGTCGTGCAATGCGGATCGCGGATAAGGAGAACGCTCGACCGCCGGGGGGTACGGGCGGGGCACGGGGGGTACCGCATGGCGGGGAACGAGGTGGGGACCCGGCGAGAGGTCGGGAAGAGAGGCACCAATATCGAACCGGCGGCCGTGGTGCGCGGCCGGAGTGCATTCCGTGAGCGGTAGACGTGTATCGCACACACTCGCGGACGGACGATATGCGTTGACGTCGCTCGATTAGTACACTGGACACTGTCCGCGGCTAGAGTCGCCTAGAGAGGATCGACGAGGCCGTGCCATCAGCGTGAACCGAGTTCTCCCAGCCGTTCGTTCGAGCCCTTTGGGAAAACGTGCAGTTGGAAGCGCACCGGCGAGTCAGCGCGCAGCCGATGTGCATGGTGGCGGCGGCGGCGACGGCGGTGGTGGTGGTGCGCGTAGGGTGTGGTGTGCGGAGAACAGGTGTCCACGAGCGCAGCAGCTCGGCCGTGAAACGAGTCGGGGCCGGAAACGTCCGGGAGCGGTGCGTGCGCCGGCATGAATTTCGGCAGAAGCCGCGGAGGCTAGAGAGACACCGTCTGACCGTGGGCAGGAGGTCGCGGGGGTGCCAGTGATGTCGACTCCGCCGAAGACCGGAAGCTCCGCCGGTAACCGGGCGAGCCCTGCCAGTCCGCGGATGCCACGTGGTGGCAGCTTCCAGGACAAGATCAGCTTCTTCGAGCAGGTCTGGTCCAGCGGACGGTCCGGCAGCCCGGAGGACCTGTACCAGGAGATCGATGGGAGGCGGCACGGCCAGTTCAGGTCGCCGACCAACCCTAAGACCTCTGCCCGAACCGGCGACTCGTCCTTCGAGGAGAGCTTCGAGAGGCTGGTCGAGGAGGGCGAGCTGAACGGGGCGAAGGTGGTCAAGTTCGAGAAGATCACCGTCAAGAAGAGCGTCAGGGAGATCGCCGGCACCGGTGCCTCCCATCAGCATAGAGGATTGACCGAGGCTAGCAGGACACCTAGCGATGAACACGCCCTCGAGGACTCCGCTTATCAGAGCCACAGCCACGGAGTGGCTAGCCACGGGAGCAAATCCAGTTCGGTCACTTCGTTCACGAGGTTCCCGTCGGAGGAGAGCCTGTCGCAGAGGAGGGGCAGCAGCCCCCAGCAGCATCTCGGACCGGACGATCGAACGTCGGCCGAGTGGCGTGCCGAGTATCGGAGCTACGGCTTCCATAACGCCTCGAGGATCGAATACGTGCGCAGCAAGAGCGAGTACGATGCACACATCGCCGCGTTTAAAGGTATTTCTTCTGCGTGGGTTCGCTTGGATGGATCAGTCCTCTTTCTCTCCTTTTTCTCTTTTTCTCTTTTACTCTTTTACTCTTTTTCTCTGTCTGCCTCCCCACCCTCCTCTCTTTCTCTCTCTCTGCCTCCCTCTTCCCCCCCTCTCTCTCTCTGGAGCGGTCGCTTTACGGGAGGGGTGGAAATTGGCACTGAACCTTAGGGTGTGTTTGAACTCGAGGACTCGCGGTGGGAAATGATTTTTAGGTTCGTTAGACGTGGTAAGCAGCGAATTTGTTTATTCCGTTTTTCTCTCGCGTTTGACGAGAGAGAGATCTCGAGGATCTTACTTCGAGAAATGACACTTTGTAGGTTTCGGGGTGGGACGTTCGTCGGGACTGCAGAGCGATTTTGTCTATTTTCTGTTTGCGCTCGAAGAATATTAAGATGGAAAGAGTTCGAGCATTCGTCAGGATGTACTTGAACTTGATTGTTCATTGTAATAGGAGAGTGAACTGCCTTCAGGGGAAAGAGGATTTGAAGAATGAAAGGGTATAGGATGAATGTCGATGTTAAGATGAATTAATGATAGGAGGATGTCATTGTGGAAGGTGACACGCAGAGACCGGCGAGACATTCATTAATGTCATCGCAACTGATGCACGCTATTTAAATTTACACCGACTATTATCAAATTTACGTAACTGTGCGTTCCTCGGTTGCGCCAAGTATGAATACTCATCGCGGTTAATGTGTCATTAGTTGCGTTTTCGCATTGTCCTCCTATCTGGAATTCTACCGAGCGTTCTTTCCGCGGTATCTAAAAACCGCATCAATACTTGAAACTATACCAAGATTGGAGTACAATATATGTATATAGATATCGCAGAAATGCTGTATCGATTCACATTGCGGTCCAGAAGCTTCTAGGCTAGACTGGATTAAGCGATGGAGGATCGTAGAAAACGTTTCCATGGTTTTCACGAAGAGGAACGATCTAATCTTCTAATGGATTCAAATTTTCAAGAAATTCGTATATAGTATTATATGATTCAATTATATAAACTCATCGATTTATCGGACTCGTGAAATTCATTCCGTTAGTCTACGCTTTTCGGCCATGCTTAGTCCTTTGACTATAGTTGACGCCCAAAGGCGCTTGAAAAATTTCGTTTCGGTATGTTATTGACAATTACAGCAAAGCTCGTATAGATTTGACATAAGTGAATTCTAATTCAACAATTGCTCGTTAGTCAGATATTCTATAAATATAATTATCTCAGATGACTTTAATTCAATTCAATTCATTGTTTTCACGGTTTCAATACGCTTCCTTCGAGATACGCGTTAACGGAAAATTCTGGCGTAGCCGAAGGGTTCCTTTTCAATTACAGACGGATCAAGATGCAACGATTCCTCGCATGCTCGACTGGGCCCGCTCGATCGGCCCCCGTGTCCGAAGAACGCGATGCATAACATCCTTCATCGGCATCAGACAGCGATCATCGATCGTTCACCGTGGAAATTAAAATAAAATTACGCGGTGACCTAGATTCGTGCCGCGACACACGGAGGCAATTCATTACTCATCCGTCTGAAAGGACGAGCCCGACACGTTCCTGCTCTTTTCAACGGCGACCAACGGTGACCGTGAACCACCATTAAAAACATCGATCGCGGGACCGGCGTTCATTATTTACATTTCCGATCTCTAGAGCCGGCCTTTCGAGCGATCGTTCTGTTTCGAACATCGAAACTTATCGCTCGTCGCGTTCGGTAACGCGTTTGCTCTCGACCGCACAGGGTAGCTTCATTTTTCGATGATGAACGCTTCGACTAAATGTATTTTGCAATCGAAACTAAGCAATTTCTTCAATTTGCTTGTTTAAACGAGTGTAGCTTGCTTTGTCTATTCGAAAGTATAATGTCATTATACTTTGTCCACTCTGGAAAGTACAATTTTTGAAAATGATCTTCAAATAATCACGCTTTTTTCCATTGTACTTTCACCTGTGAATTGAAATACGAATTTACATAAATGCATCGTTGAAACGGACTCGCAGTCCAGCGTTTCAGGGAACTGAACTTGCACCAGTTTCGAAAACACGGTCAGTTAGTCCGATGAACAAGATAATTCGCCAGGGGGAACCGTGAGCGTCCAGACATCACAACGCGTTTAATTCGGCCCAATTATCCCACTTTCCAGCGACCACGTTTCCGTCCACTTTCGTCCGTTGTTTCACACGATTTCGAATCACGCTGCCATCTTTCTGACTCCTCCGTTCCGTTTTTCTCCGTAGGGTTCAGGCCAGGCGACGCGGCCGTAGAACCTGCCAGTTTTTTTCGCGATCGATAGTTATTCGCCTCCGTTAAGCACCGTATTAGCAATTCTCACGTGCGACTTTTCTCGGTCGCGGCTATCGCGTCGCTCGAAAATATCGTAACGAACTCGGCGGTTATTTTTCTCTTCTCGCGACGTGATCAGCAGAAATCCCCACCGGATTAGATAAGGAACGAGCGACGTAACCTCGTTGATTCTTGCGCGTACCGTTTATTGAAACGTAAAAAGACGAGAGATTAAAAAACCAAAAAATGTCAAGGACCGCCCAATCTCTCACGAATAAAGCTTGACCCCTCGCTTTATCGTTTTTTATCAGCCATCGTGTACGAGTTGTTTCACTGCTAATCATTTAGAGGATTAACAGCGAATTACTTGAAAATATCATACCAATTACGATAACCATGATCCACGGGGAAACAACGGAAACAACTACAATCTATTTCAACCTAATTTCGTGGAAGCTCATATATTCGATCGAATGACTCTTCGACGATGACACTAATATAATATCAATACCAAATCAAATCTCTAAATGAAATTCCAGCGCAAGAGGTTACGTTCGTACAAGTCGTCGTGCACCATTATGCGACAGGTTCGAAAAGCGATTCGTTAGATATTATTGTTCGTGATAACCGTTCGTGATGGACAGGTATCAATGTTTAATTCACGACCTACAAACATGTCACTCACACGTGGGTGACGTGGCACTGGTATTAAGGGATGAATATATCCACCGGCTGCCCCTCGGCAATTGCAAGGGGATGAAGTCGGCGAAACGAGCAACGGCGCCGTGCCACGTGGTCTGTCTTGCGCTTTGATTGATTACGTTAATTTGCGGTTCACGTTCGATAATCGTGTTGCCCACGCTCGACCGTGCTTCACGTGGGACAAACCGGAAACCTCGATCGGGAATGCGGCCTTCGGTGTTCCATGGCCGCCGGTGTCGCGCACAGCAGATTTTTTGTCTTTTATTTCAATCGATATCATCTCTTTCGAATTGTCGCACTTGCCGGATCGAGCCAGGCACGCGGTTATTCGATATAATCGGGGGATCAGGTTTCTTGGGAAATTAAACGAACGACTTCCATGCCGAGGCCGATGAAGCTGTTTAATGTATCGACAGTTTAATCGGTCGTGCACACGTTGACGAGCAGTTTCGATACATTGGATTAGGTATCGCGTGTTACGGTCCCAGTCAAGCGTTTACCTTTTTATTAGCTCGTTCCTGAAATTCGTCCCGTCGTTTCTTTATTTGACCGGTTACATCTGTCGGAACCGTCAAAGAACTTTATCTTTTGAACTGTAACGGAGCAATAAAACTGCGCCGAATGGCTGCAGCGATAGCGGACGAGATATCTGGGACTGTGCACCGAAATAAACATTTCTTTTTACTTCGGCAACCTTCCGCAGGAGTTCGAGGAACTTTGAAATTGTTCTAACCCACATTTCGTGTCATAATCGTACTCGCGTTAATTATATCGTTCATAAGAGATTTGATAGGCCGATTGCCAGTAATATTTTTAGGTAGCTGCTCTGTCGACATTGTTTCTTCGAATACTTCTCGTTCGAAATAATACATCAGCGGATATCTCCCTCTAATTTGAGGACTAATCCACTGTTTCCTTAATGTCATAAAAATACACTCGAATCGGAGCGACGACCAATCTCTTAAGACATACAATTCAATCGGATTGCTTGACTGAAACGCTGCACAGAATAATTCCGAATAGTACGAAGACGCGAATTACTGTTGTTCGCCTGCGAGACAAGGGAAACATAGTTGAAACGCCGATACGAGTATCGCTGCGAAAATAACTGTGACCAGGAGACGTTGCGATATTGAATTAGCTTGAATCGGAGCACAAGTAACTCGTTCTACGAGATAACGCCGCGAAGGATCGATCGTGTCGATCATAAATCCAGTCGGATTAACATGGAAACGCTGCAGCGCCGATGGAAATCAATTCTCGGTCGCAAACGGTGTGCCACACCCAGCCCAGAAACAACAGCGAGAAGCCTGCGTATTGCAACTAGACGCGCATTAGCGTCGCGAGTGAATCATATAAGAAAAGTTCGTCCTCGTGTTGGCCGACCCGGCGAGTTTCATTGGTCGAAAAGTTAGGATTTCGCCACGAATACCCGGCGGGTCGTTGCTTCGCTGAAATTGGCGTCATACACGCTGAAGATCGTCTTACGTGTTCCTCAGCTTAGTCATTAGGCTCGTCGCGGCACGACATGGCCGCCGTCGACACCGCGACCGTCACAATTGCCGCAATCAAATTGAAATTCAAATGGTAGCAATTCAGTTACGGGACCGGGAGAAACGTCCGCCTCTTCGCCGCTCGTCTGCCTTCCGTATCGATCATCGGGACACCGTAATCCAATCTCGATGATTCGAACGAGATGACCGTTGTAACAGTTCCTGTTTCAATTAGAGTTTCCCTTCTCGGCAGGAGATATCGGTTGGGATCGATTCTTTTGGATATTGCAACTTGAAACTCGAGAGAACTGCGGAGGATTTGAAAGTGTAGCGCGCAATGTGGATTTTAGTTGAATAACGTTATTTATCGATCATTCGCCTAAGGAAACATGATTCTTGCACCTGATATTTGCACTATTTCATTCGCTTCCCTTTGCTAGTCTGAATTTTCTAACCTTCGGTGCTTTTAGTTCTACTAG